CCCTAAGTACATAAGTTCAGCGCGCACTGCGCTGCCGGTTGAGCCGGCAGCGGCGCGGCTGCATTATATATTTCTTATATGTAAATACTTATGCTTAGGTGACAATGGATATGCATGCTTTGTCTTACGTAAATACTTTAGAGTGAGAGAGAGTATTATACACATATGCATAGGGCACTGGCGGTCAGCGTGCATATGCTGACTTAGCCGAATTCACAAGTGGCCGATCATGTTACGCGCTCACTTGAGTTTGTTTTTGTTTATTGTGATTTGTTGTGGCTGCACAAAGTGTTGCCGCCATATAAGTGTCAAACACAGTGTAAACTCGATACAAAAGGTAATCACAGTGTACACTCGATATATATGACATATGTGCATATTACATCTCCCTCCTTTTGAAAATAACGTAATGTGGTGGAGTTATTTTAATTTATTGTTTTTAAAGGTTTTCAAATTTAAAATTGAAATATTGAAAAGAATTACTTTAATTAAACTTTCTCTTTTTTTTATATAAAATTTTAAATTGAAATATAAAATGTAGTTTAAAACGCAAATATATATATTTAATGTACATAATAAAGTAATTATATATATATATATATATAAGTTTTTTTAAATATATTTTTTAATTGAATAGTATAGTAGATCCTTATGGACTTTCTGGGTTTTGTTTTTCCCATTTTCAATTACGTAGTTATCCCTGTCTTCCATTTTAACTATTTTATAGGGTCCTAAATATACTGGGTCCAATTTATGTCCAGTTTCGTTTTTTAATAGAACTTTATCTCCTATTTGTAATTCGAAATCTATAGCCTTTTTTATCATAATTTTCTTTATTTTTAGTTTTATATTTGTTGAGCATTATTCTTGCTCTTTTATAGGCTGATTCTAATCTAAACTTAACTTCTTTTGCGTAATCGTCTAAGTTATATAAATGATCTATTCTATTTATAGTACTAAAATCGTCTGGTAAATTATGCAATTTACCAAAAACTAATTCATATGGACAATAGTTGTGTGCCGTGTTGAAACAGTATACGAAATATTGAATCCATACGTCCCAATCAGTTTTATCAGCTTATATATAAGATCTTGTCCTTAAAACTTTTTAAGCAAAATGTTCCTTTTTTATTAAATTTTGTTTTTTCGTTTTCGAAGCGATTTAATCGATCTTTTGAAGAATTGAACCGAAAAGAATCGATTCTCAAAAAGTAGAATTGGTTACAGCTCTACTCGTGGTCAGGAGGAGAGCGAGAGAGAGAGAGAGACAAAGCCAAAATTAATGAGACCAGATAATCTAATTAAGAAATATCTTACATGCTAATAAATATACCAAATTAAAATTAGTTATGTGGTTCCTCAACAGCATAAGCGTACTTTTTTGGTAAAATCGAACTTCTGCTGCACATTTAGGGATATGAAAGGGCATTGTTGGCAATGGAATGGTCCAGATGCGCAAAAATTAAACGCTTTGGTGGCATCATTGGAAACTATAAGCTTAATCCGAACTTTCTAGGATTTTCATTTACTGATATCTCAGCGTTCTTAATGAATGCGGATACCGTTTTTGGTTTATTCGCGTTTTATGAGGTTGGATTGGGCGTGTAGAGATGCTATAGTGGTGGCATTTTTGCAATTACACGCAACATTGGAAAGTACATGCTTAATCTCAATTTTTCTATTACTTATACTTAGCGATATTTCAGCGTTCTTAGAGAATGCGGAAACCATTTTTCGCGATAATTCCATCTTGAGATGCACTAGCATCTCAAACTTATATACGCTTAGTATATTCCATTCTATTATTATATTATTCTATCTCTTATAACAGGTAATTTTTAAGCTTAGTTTTTTTTTAAATCGAATAAAACACTCAGACCTGCATCAACATTTTAAAAAAACTTCATCTTAATGTTGTCCGCGGCTTCGTTTCAAGAGATATTATCGTTTTCCGCCTATTTACATAGAATTAAGACATAACATAACTCCATAAAAAAATCTACGGACGTTAAATCGAATGATCTGGGTGGCTAACTTACGCGGCCATTTTGTGAGATAAGCTGCTTATTTGCGCATGTGTGGCATGTGTGATGAAACCACATGTCAACCAATTTTATGTAGTAGGTCATTAGGCTTCAATTCTTGCAGAAGGTTTTCAAACCCAAATCCCAAACCGAAAATTTGTGCATGTGTTGAGTAACACATGCACAAATGCTGAGAACGGTGTCGATTTAACATTTCACGATTCTCATTAACACTGAACTTTCCGATTGCAATATTTTCTTCTGTACGGACTGTAAGCATGCGAGTCGATTGTTTAATGTCCAACAATGTAAATTTAGTGCAAAATTTTGTGATAACAGCATGAATTGTTGATTCCTGAGGCCAATTATGACGACCACAAATATGCTCATATAAAAAGATAAGTGTTTATCACAAAGCAAGAATTTAGATAATAAATTTCAACAAGTTTCAATCGTTGCTCATTTGTTATTCTTTCCCTGATAAAATGGCAGAGTATACCGGAAACTTCTCACTTTGACAGATGACGTTTGAGTACCATCACTAACCAGTGATGCCAGAATAAACCCCTTTTTTTTTAAAACATCATCTATTAGTTTCTAAGATTTGTGGGCGTCAGAGTGGGCCGGATTAAAAAAACTACCTCGGCCTACGGTGTCATCTGTAGAAAATAGATAATTGATCCTAAAATTCTGGACCGTAAAGTTATTGATATTCCTAGAGTGTTTGGTATTTCGCGTCTTGTGAGCATTGAAGAGAGCGTGGCCAGATGCGGAAAAAATAATCTCACCGAGTTTAGCTTTTCGTTATTTGTAGGCGTTGGAGCGGGTGTGGCCAGATGCGGAAAGATAGTACGCTTAGGGGGCATCATTGGAAAGTACATGTACCATGTAACACAACATGGTTAATCTCAATTTTATATTACTTATATTTACTGATATCTCAGCGTTTTTATAGAGGGTGTTTATTTTTAGATGTATAGAACTTTTAATTTGAATGCAACAACGATGGATTATTCGATTGTCATGAATTTTTAAAAATATATAATCTTTGAGCATTATATTTTAAATATGGTTTCTGGCATATGACCTCCACGGCTGTCACAGATGTAGTCCAATCTGGACGTACAATTTTTGATGACTTTTCCAACATCTGTGGTCGTGTATCGCAGTTTTGTTTGTTGACGAAGCCATTCAACCAGAAGTGCGCTTCAAAAAAATTAGCCTGTAAAAATCAGGGACAATGGCAATCTCGTTTTGGGCCCATTCGACGAATTTACGTCTTGATTAATGATCGTTTGGCTTCAATTCTTGCTAGAGTTGGATTTTGTAAGCACGCAGAACATGATCCTTCCGCCAAATCTTCCATAAACTGGATGGACACAGGTTCAATCCTGTCTATTTATCATAAATTGACTGAGAATAAATCAGTTGACAGCTGTTAAATCGATTGCTATATGGAACAGAAATGTCACCTCAAAGTTCTATCCCTCTAAAAAAACACCCCTTACAATGCGTTTTTCTGTTTTTTTTTTTTTGGTTGGTAGCCGTGATGCGCTGGCATCTCAATCATATACACGCTTTGTCCCAACTTTCTATCTCTTATAGTTCTTAAGATTTTAGCTATTTTAGTGTTCACAACTTTTGGGCGCTCTAGTGGGATATTTTAGCGTTCTTAGAGAATGCGGTGTTATCGGTTGGTGGGCTAAAGAGTGGGTATGATCAACTAATATCGCTCTGCTTACAACACTATACGAATATAAGAGATGAGTAATGAGAGCGTATCGAAAGCTGTGACAGGCAAAGCTTTTAAACATCGTTTTGACTATCTTTTAGAAAAAAAAAATGATCAAAACCAACAATAGCCAATGGCATTTAAAATTGATCAATTTAGTTTCTTCTGCTTCTAACATCCTCCCCATGTTGGGATCGGCTACCAACCAGCTCTTTTTCAAGAGACAAACTATCTAGTTTGGCAACGGCCCTCTTGATGCTATCAGTCGCAGATCGATGGGGCGACTCCATCCTCAAGGGCTCCTGGTCAGGTGACAGGCATCACAGTTGGTTGGCGAGGCAGGTTCCCCGACGGTTCGGATGCGATAATGAGGCAGGTGCGAAATGAGTCTGCGGTATTCGAGCAAGGACTGATACTGTTGAAGGAGGTCAACTCGAAATGTGCCAGGAGGATTTATTTTATCCAGCCTTCGTCTGCCAAGTGCTCTTTACCGCGGTAGACTACCGTGCAAACGGTCCTCCCATATACCCATTCGGCTGGAGTTAGAGTGACCGTCCTCGCAAATCTCAGAGTCGTGTGCCTGTTCGCAGAATAATTATGTTATGCGCCGTTCTTGGCTTGTCCAGATTTTCACTTTCCCCTCTCTTGCAACAAAGACAGATAATCTGTGTATCAAAATGAAATTTGGCTTCTTTGACAGCCGCTTCCCTCAATCCGTCAAAGTGAGGTAAAGGGGGAAGTAGGAAGTTCCAATTAATTCCTTCCGGTAGGCAGGTTTGTGCTATGTCTGAACAATTGGGCTCACTTTTTAGTAGATCTTTTAGTTCTGCAAGCTCTTTTTTGCACATAAACAATAAGTGGCATTACACATACATTTCTTGGCTTCCCCCAAATGCTGATAAACCGGGTGCATGGCATAACGCCCAGTGTCATAGCGCCCACGGGCGTTCCAACACCCGCCCGCGGGTGCTATGTCATTTTTCTTTTGGGCCTTATGACACTACGTTAAAACAATTTTGGCTTGCGCTTTTAATAAAGTAAATTTAAATACAAAATTGTGTTAACATGTCATTTCTTTCATTTAAACATTATTGATAAACGCGGACGGTCAAGGCAAATTATACATTTAAGAACTTCAACCATTTGACTGAAGTGTAAAGTATTGTCCTCATCTTCATCTTCAGTATTATCTAAGCATGACTGCTCTTCAAATGTGGTGTCCCACCTAATCAAGTCATTTTTTGATTAATTAGGCTGCCAAAAAACTCGTTTAATGATATTGTTGCGCTCTCCAAGTCCCTGATAAGCTCTTCTATTTTGTTGTCGTTGACTCTCTCCTTTTTTCACTTTGCGCTTTGCGCGGTTAAGTCGCCATCCAGAGCATTAGCTAAAATTACGCTTGTAGCATAGACCTCATCTCGAATAACTTCGAGAAATTGGTCGAAGCGGCCATGCTTTTGCAATTTCCGAGCTAATGCAGCGTTGAAGGACTGCAATGAGCTTGTTGTTCGCACAACCTGAGCGCGCACAGAGAATACATCAGGAGTGGTCTGGGAAAAAAAATACATGAATAACAAAAACTATTAAAAAAGAAAAATAATCTAACTTTAACCATCCATTCCTTTTCAAAGTAATTTAAAAATCGTTTCAAAATGTCGTGCCTGTTTTTTGGCAGCTCCAACAATTGGTCCTTCAAAATTGTAAACATTTCCTGAATTTTCGGAGGCTTAATTAATGGCAAGCTGAGAAACGTCCTGTACCATTTGTAGCAGTCCGTATTTTTAACGTTGCTCCAAAATTAGGAATTTTTAAGCTGTTGCGCCTCAAAGCTTGACAGTAATGAAACCAGCAGCCATTTATCGTTGCCGTTGGGAACACAGTTTTTTGTTGTATATCGAGATGTTAGGTTGTTGTACCTTCGAGCTGTTAGGTTGTAAGTTGAAGTTCAATGAAAAGTCTTGCACGTCAGTGCAGTTTGGATTTAGGTTTTATAATAATCTTTTATTTGAAGTAAAATGTTCTCTTACCCTAAGTACATAAGTTCAGCGCGCACTGCGCTGCCGGTTGAGCCGGCAGCGGCGCGGCTGCATTATATATTTCTTATATGTAAATACTTATGCTTAGGTGACAATGGATATGCATGCTTTGTCTTACGTAAATACTTTAGAGTGAGAGAGAGTATTATACACATATGCATAGGGCACTGGCGGTCAGCGTGCATATGCTGACTTAGCCGAATTCACAAGTGGCCGATCATGTTACGCGCTCACTTGAGTTTGTTTTTGTTTATTGTGATTTGTTGTGGCTGCACAAAGTGTTGCCGGCATATAAGTGTCAAACACAGTGTAAACTCGATACAAAAGGTAATCACAGTGTACACTCGATATATATGACATATGTGCATATTACATCTCCCTCCTTTTGAAAATAACGTAATGTGGTGGAGTTATTTTAATTTATTGTTTTTAAAGGTTTTCAAATTTAAAATTGAAATATTGAAAAGAATTACTTTAATTAAACTTTCTCTTTTTTTTATATAAAATTTTAAATTGAAATATAAAATGTAGTTTAAAACGCAAATATATATATTTAATGTACATAATAAAGTAATTATATATATATATATATAAGTTTTTTTAAATATATTTTTTAATTGAATAGTATAGTAGATCCTTATGGACTTTCTGGGTTTTGTTTTTCCCATTTTCAATTACGTAGTTATCCCTGTCTTCCATTTTAACTATTTTATAGGGTCCTAAATATACTGGGTCCAATTTATGTCCAGTTTCGTTTTTTAATAGAACTTTATCTCCTATTTGTAATTCGAAATCTATAGCCTTTTTATCATAATTTTCTTTATTTTTAGTTTTATATTTGTTGAGCATTATTCTTGCTCTTTTATAGGCTGATTCTAATCTAAACTTAACTTCTTTTGCGTAATCGTCTAAGTTATATAAATGATCTATTCTATTTATAGTACTAAAATCGTCTGGTAAATTATGCAATTTACCAAAAACTAATTCATATGGACAATAGTTGTGTGCCGTGTTGAAACAGTATACGAAATATTGAATCCATACGTCCCAATCAGTTTTATCAGCTTATATATAAGATCTTGTCCTTAAAACTTTTTAAGCAAAATGTTCCTTTTTTATTAAATTTTGTTTTTTCGTTTTCGAAGCGATTTAATCGATCTTTTGAAGAATTGAACCGAAAAGAATCGATTCTCAAAAAGTAGAATTGGTTACAGCTCTACTCGTGGTCAGGAGGAGAGCGAGAGAGAGAGAGACAAAGCCAAAATTAATGAGACCAGATAATCTAATTAAGAAATATCTTACATGCTAATAAATATACCAAATTAAAATTAGTTATGTGGTTCCTCAACAGCATAAGCGTACTTTTTTGGTAAAATCGAACTTCTGCTGCACATTTAGGGATATGAAAGGGCATTGTTGGCAATGGAATGGTCCAGATGCGCAAAAATTAAACGCTTTGGTGGCATCATTGGAAACTATAAGCTTAATCCGAACTTTCTAGGATTTTTATTTACTGATATCTCAGCGTTCTTAATGAATGCGGCTACCGTTTTTGGTTTATTCGCGTTTTATGAGGTTGGATTGGGCGTGTAGAGATGCTATAGTGGTGGCATTTTTGCAATTACACGCAACATTGGAAAGTACATGCTTAATCTCAATTTTTCTATTACTTATACTTAGCGATATTTCAGCGATAATTCCATCTTGAGATGCACTAGCATCTCAAACTTATATACGCTTAGTATATTCCATTCTATTATTATATTATTCTATCTCTTATAACAGGTAATTTTTAAGCTTAGTTTTTTTTTTAAATCGAATAAAACACTCAGACCTGCATCAACATTTTAAAAAAACTTCATCTTAATGTTGTCCGCGGCTTCGTTTCAAGAGATCTTATCGTTTTCCGCCTATTTACATAGAATTAAGACATAACATAACTCCATAAAAAAATCTACGGACGTTAAATCGAATGATCTGGGTGGCTAACTTACGCGGCCATTTTGTGAGATAAGCTGCTTATTTGCGCATGTGTGGCATGTGTGATGAAACCACATGTCAACCAATTTTATGTAGTAGGTCATTAGGCTTCAATTCTTGCAGAAGGTTTTCAAACCCAAATCCCAAACCGAAAATTTGTGCATGTGTTGAGTAACACATGCACAAATGCTGAGAACGGTGTCGATTTAACATTTCACGATTCTCATTAACACTGAACTCTCCGATTTTTTTTTTCTTTGTACGGACTGTAAGCATGCGAGTCGATTGTTTAATGTCCAACAATGTAAATTTAGTGCAAAATTTTGTGATAACAGCATGAATTGTTGATTCATGAGGCCAATTATGACGACCACAAATATGCTCATATAAAAAGATAAGTGTTTATCACAAAGCAAGAATTTAGATAATAAATTTCAACAAGTTTCAATCGTTGCTCATTTGTTATTCTTTCCCTGATAAAATGGCAGAGTATACCGGAAACTTCTCACTTTGACAGATGACGTTTGAGTACCATCACTAACCAGTGATGCCAAAATAAAACCCTATCTTTTAAAACATCATCTATTAGTTTCTAAGATTTGTGGGCGTCAGAGTGGGCCGGATTAAAAAAACTACCTCGGCCTACGGTGTCATCTGTAGAAAATAGATAATTGATCCTAAAATTCTGGACCGTAAAGTTATTGATATTCCTAGAGTGTTTGGTATTTCGCGTCTTGTGAGCATTGAAGAGAGCGTGGCCAGATGCGGAAAAAATAATCTCACCGAGTTTAGCTTTTCGTTATTTGTAGGCGTTGGAGCGGGTGTGGCCAGATGCGGAAAGATAGTACGCTTAGGGGGCATCATTGGAAAGTACATGTACCATGTAACACAACATGGTTAATCTCAATTTTATATTACTTATATTTACTGATATCTCAGCGTTTTTATAGAGGGTGTTTATTTTTAGATGTATAGAACTTTTAATTTGAATGCAACAACGATGGATTATTCGATTGTCATGAATTTTTAAAAATATATAATCTTTGAGCATTATATTTTAAATATGGTTTCTGGCATATGACCTCCACGGCTGGCACAGATGTAGTCCAATCTGGACGTACAATTTTTGATGACTTTTCCAACATCTGTGGTCGTGTATCGCAGTTTTGTTTGTTGACGAAGCCATTCAACCAGAAGTGCGCTTCAAAAAAAGTAGCCTGTAAAAATCAGGGACAATGGCAATCTCGTTTTGGGCCCATTCGACGAATTTATGTCTTGATTAATGATCGTTTGGCTTCAATTCTTGCTAGAGTTGGATTTTGTAAGCACGCAGAACATGATCCTTCCGCCAAATCTTCCATAAACTGGATGGACACAGGTTCAATCCTGTCTTTTTATCATAAATTGACTGAGAATAAATCAGTTGACAGCTGTTAAATCGATTGCTATATGGAACAGAAATGTCACCTCAAAGTTCTATCCCTCTAAAAAAACACCCCTTACAATGCGTTTTTCTGTTTTTTTTTTTGGTTGGTAGCCGTGATGCGCTGGCATCTCAATCATATACACGCTTTGTCTCAACTTTCTATCTCTTATAGTTCTTAAGATTTTAGCTATTTTAGTGTTCACAACTTTTGGGCGCTCTAGTGGGATATTTTAGCGTTCTTAGAGAATGCGGTGTTATCGGTTGGTGGGCTAAAGAGTGGGTATGATCAACTAATATCGCTCTGCTTACAACACTATACGAATATAAGAGATGAGTAATGAGAGCGTATCGAAAGCTGTGACAGGCAAAGCTTTTAAACATCGTTTTGACTATCTTTTAGAAAAAAAAAATGATCAAATCCAACAATAGCCAATGGCATTTAAAATTGATCAATTTAGTTTCTTCTCCTTCTAACATCCTCCCCATGTTGGGATCGGCTACCAACCAGCTCTTTTTCAAGAGACAAACTATCTAGTTTGGCAACGGCCCTCTTGATGCTATCAGTCGCAGATCGATGGGGCGACTCCATCCTCAAGGGCTCCTGGTCAGGTGACAGGCATCACAGTTGGTTGGCGAGGCAGGTTCCCCGACGGTTCGGATGCGATAATGAGGCAGGTGCGAAATGAGTCTGCGGTATTCGAGCAACGACTGATACTGTTGAAGGAGGTCAACTCGAAATGTGCCAGGAGGATTTATTTTATCCAGCCTTCGTCTGCCAAGTGCTCTTTACCGCGGTAGACTACCGTGCAAACGGTCCTCCCATATACCCGTTCGGCTGGAGTTAGAGTGACCGTCCTCGCAAATCTCAGAGTCGTGTGCCTGTTCGCAGAATAATTATGTTATGCGCCGTTCTTGGCTTGTCCAGATTTTCACTTTCCCCTCTCTTGCAACAAAGACAGATAATCTGTGTATCAAAATAAAATTTGGCTTCTTTGACAGCCGCTTCCCTCAATCCGTCAAAGTGAGGTAAAGGGGGAAGTAGGAAGTTCCAATTAATTCCTTCCGGTAGGTAGGTTTGTGCTATGTCTGAACAATTGGGCTCACTTTTTAGTAGATCTTTTAGTTCTGCAAGCTCTTTTTTTGCACATAAACAATAAGTGGCATTACACATACATTTCTTGGCTTCCCCCAAATGCTGATAAACCGGGTGCATGGCATAACGCCCAGTGTCATAGCGCCCACGGGCGTTCCGTCACCCGCCCGCGGGTGCTATGTCATTTTTCTTGTGGGCCTTATGACACTACGTTAAAACAATTTTTGCTTGCGCTTTTAATAAAGTAAATTTAAATACAAAATTGTGTTAACATGTCATTTCTTTCATTTAAACATTATTGATAAACGCGGACGGTCAAGGCAAATTATACATTTAAGAACTTCAACCATTTGACTGAAGTGTAAAGTATTGTCCTCATCTTCATCTTCAGTATTATCTAAGCATGACTGCTCTTCAAATGTGGTGTCCCACCTAATCAAATCATTTTTTGATTAATTAGGCTGCCAAAAAACTCGTTTAATGATATTGTTGCGCTCTCCAAGTCCCTGATAAGCTCTTCTATTTTGTTGTCGTTGACTCTCTCCTTTTTTCACTTTGCGCTTTGCGCGGTTAAGTCGCCATCCAGAGCATTAGCTAAAATTACGCTTGTAGCATAGACCTCATCTCGAATAACTTCGAGAAATTGGTCGAAGCGGCCATGCTTTTGCAATTTCCGAGCTAATGCAGCGTTGAAGGACTGCAATGAGCTTGTTGTTCGCACAACCTGAGCGCGCACAGAGAATACATCAGGAGTGGTCTGGGAAAAAAAAATACATGAATAACAAAAACTATTAAAAAAGAAAAATAATCTTACTTTAACCATCCATTCCTTTTCAAAGTAATTTAAAAATCGTTTCAAAATGTCGTGCCTGTTTTTTGGCAGCTCCAACAATTGGTCCTTCAAAATTGTAAACATTTCCTGAATTTTCGGAGGCTTAATTAACGGCAAGCTGAGAAACGTCCTGTACCATTTGTAGCAGTCCGTATTTTGAACGTTGCTCCAAAATTAGGAATTTTTAAGCTGTTGCGCCTCAAAGCTTGACAGTAATGAAACCAGCAGCCATTTATCGTTGCCGTTGGGAACACAGTTTTTTGTTGTATATCGAGATGTTAGGGTTGTTGTACCTTCGAGCTGTTAGGTTGTAAGTTGAAGTTCAATGAAAAGTCTTGCACGTCAGTGCAGTTTGGATTTAGGTTTTATAATAATCTTTTATTTGAAGTAAAATGTTCTCTTACCCTAAGTACATAAGTTCAGCGCGCACTGCGCTGCCGGTTGAGCCGGCAGCGGCGCGGCTGCATTATATATTTCTTATATGTAAATACTTATGCTTAGGTGACAATGGATATGCATGCTTTGTCTTACGTAAATACTTTAGAGTGAGAGAGAGTATTATGCACATATGCATAGGGCACTGGCGGTCAGCGTGCATATGCTGACTTAGCCGAATTCACAAGTGGCCGATCATGTTACGCGCTCACTTGAGTTTGTTTTTGTTTATTGTGATTTGTTGTGGCTGCACAAAGTGTTGCCGCCACATAAGTGTCAAACACAGTGTAAACTCGATACAAAAGGTAATCACAGTGTACACTCGATATATATGACATATGTGCATATTACATCTCCCTCCTTTTGAAAATAACGTAATGTAGTGGAGTTATTTTAATTTATTGTTTTTAAAGGTTTTCAAATTTAAAATTGAAATATTGAAAAGAATTACTTTAATTAAACTTACTCTTTTTTTTATATAAAATTTTAAATTGAAATATAAAATGTAGTTTAAAACGCAAATATATATATTTAATGTACATAATAAAGTAATTATATATATATATATAAGTTTTTTTTAAATATATTTTTTAATTGAATAGTATAGTAGATCCTTGTAGACTTTCTGGGTTTTGTTTTTCCCATTTTCAATTACGTAGTTATCCCTGGGGTCCATTTTAACTATTTTATAGGGTCCTAAATATACTGGGTCCAATTTATGTCCAGTTTCGTTTTTTAATAGAACTTTATCTCCTATTTGTAATTCGAAATCTATAGCCTTTTTATCATAATTTTCTTTATTTTTAGTTTTATATTTGTTGAGCATTATTCTTGCTCTTTTATAGGCTGATTCTAATCTAAACTTAACTTCTTTTGCGTAATCGTCTAAGTTATATAAGTGATCTATTCTATTTATAGTACTAAAATCGTCTGGTAAATTATGCAATTTACCAAAAACTAATTCATATGGACAATAGTTGTGTGCCGTGTTGAAACAGTATACGAAATATTGAATCCATACGTCCCAATCAGTTTTATCAGCTTATATATAAGATCGTATATATTCATTGAAAGTTCTGTGACTTCTTTCAACTGTTCCAACGGTCTGGCGGTGGATTGCAGTAAATGTTATATTATTAATCTTTAAATATTTGCACAAATCATTTATAATTGAATTTTTATATTCTGTTCCCATGTCCGTAATGAACGTCTTCATTGGACCGTACTTCAGAATAAAATTTTCAAATATTGTCTATGCTACTGTATTAGCATTTTTATTTGGAATGTACTTCGTCATTGTTTATGACGTTGTATACGTTGGGCTGAGAAGCTTTTTCTGTAGATTGCCTTGGCAATTCTTCTTTTTTATTTTCTGCGCAGAGGATTTTAGGATTCAGGATTTTATTTTGTATGACTTTAAAGTCTTGGATGGTTATTTTTGATAACGCATCCGCTACATGATTATCTTTACCCTTCAAATATTCTACCGTAAAATTATATTCCTCTAATTCAAGCCTCATACGAGTAAGTTTAGAACTCGGATTGACCATTGAGAATAGATATGAAAGTGGTCAATGATCCGTTCTTACTGTAAAATGATTACCATAAATATATGGTCGAAAATGAGTTATCGCCCAGTGAATAGCTGTTAGCTCTTGTTCAGTAGTACTCTTGTTACTTTCTCCTTTGTTAAAGGATCTTAATGCGTATGCAATGGGAAGTTGGAGTCCGTTTTGGTTTTGAGTTAAAACCGCTCCACACGCTTGCTTACTTGCATCTGTTATTATACAGAATTCTTTAGTGAAATCTGGATATTGTAACAAGGTTGGCTTCATCTATGCCGTTATTAAATGATCGAAATCATTCTGACATTCTGATGTCCATTCAAACTGTACGCATTTTTTACATAATCTTGTTATGTGACGTGAATAATCAGCAAAGTTTTTAATAAAACGTCGATAATAGTTGGAGAATGCAACAAAGCGTCTTGCACTGTCCGCATCATGTGGGACAGGATAGTTTTTAATGGCCTTGTATTTTTTATCATTGGGCAAAATTCCTTTATCAGTGCACTTGTGTCCCAAAAATGTGACTTCATGCATGAAAAATGAACATTTTTCTGGATGTAGCTTCAGATTGTATTTTCTACATTTGTCAAAAACATCAGTTTAGTTTTTGACCATATGTTTCTCGGAACAACCTATTACTATTAGATCATCCATATAAAGAAATGCTTGTGATGGTTGTAAACCAGAGAATGCTATTGTCATCATTCTTTGGAATGAGTTAGGGGCTATTTTTAAGCCGAAAGGTAATCGCGTGAAGCGATACGAGCCATTGCTCGTTGAAAATGACGTTATATTTCTTGAACTTTCTTCAAGTTCAATTTGATGAAATCCTGACATTAAGTCAAGACATGAGAAGTACTTTGCTTTACCTAGTTGATCTAGAATATCATCTATCCTAGGTAGTGGAAATTTATCAGACAATAGCTTCTTATTTATTTGACGATAGTCAATTACTAATCGCCATTTTTTATTTTCTGAGCCCGGAAGAGAGTTCTTCGGGACTAAAAGTAGTGGGCTATTGTATTCTGACACTGAAGGTTCAACTATTTTATCATTTATTAGTTTTTGTACTTGGGCTTGTATTTCCTGTACTTGGCTATGAGGACTTCTATAATTCTTAATATATATGGGTTCATCATCCTTTAATCTAAGCCTCTGTTTATAAAAATTATTTGTAGTAATTGATTCGGTTTCTAGTCCGAATATATCTGTATATCTGGTACATAGATCTTTTAGTTGGCTTTTGAACAATGGTGGAAAATTTTTGATTAGTTGTTTCATGACTAAATTACTTCTATCTTCATTAGAGTTTTTTAATATTTCGTAATCGTTTAATTTTTCATATTTTATATTATTTAAATTAACGATTATATTGGAATTTGTCGTGTTTAAAATTCGGACATAAGTAAGGTTGTGATCGGACAAGGTGTTTGCGATATAAATTCCTTCTTCAATTTCTTGATTTGGTATCAAGATGTGATTAATAATTGAAGGAATTTGTATTTTACGGACGACTTTGGACCGAGCTGGAAGTACTGTGGCATTATTGGCACAAGTGTGAAATATTTCCGTCTAATCGGATAATTTAAGTTGTTTGGACGAAGAAATAGTGGGTCGCCACTTTCGTTGAAATCTATTTGGCAATTGTATTGTTTTATAAAATCTATGCCTAGTATGCCATCACTAGGTATTGGGAAATTTTTATCGACTAAATGAAAGTCAAGGTATGTAATTTTTTGTTTGGAGTTCTACGAAGGCTAAGCCTTTTGAAATTATTGTTCCTTCGCCTATACCCGATATTTGTTTACATTATCGAATATATCTATATTTTCTTTCAATATATGTAGATATATCTGCACCAGTGTCTATTAACAGCGAAAGTGTTTTACCTGTTTTTTCATTATTAATTTTTACAAAGATACTTAGATCAAGGTTGATGCTTTTAATTGTGCCATTTATTGGCTTTGAATATCTGAAGGGTGAGGGTTTCCCGAATTACTCTGGGCAACTCTCATATTAGTATTTGTGTTGTTGTTATTGTGGCCTCGATTCGAGTTGCCACGGGCTCTTGAGTTTCCTCTATATTGGCCTCGTCCATTATTCTTATAATTGGAACCGTTGTAGTTGTTGTAATTATTATTACGACTACGCGAGTTTCCTCTGAAATTTCCACGTCCGCTGTGAATAAAGGACTGTGTTTTGCTGTCCAGTTGCTTCTGTGCAACCGTTTACAAATTTGGATACGGCCTCATTCATTGTAGAGAAACTACCAGCTTCCATGATAAGTTTTACCTACTCATTTGTGCAGTTCTTAGTCATTGGTTTTACTGCGTGCTTGGTGGAATAACTTCTGGCTAACTCTAAAGTTAACCCGTCGTTATATATGCATTTTCCAATGTCTTCGTCATTTGCTCAATCTCTGTTACATATTGATTGGCAGTTTTATTGCGCTGCTGTTTCGCCTTTGACATTGTTTTGTAGTAGTCTGGAGATGACTTCAGATATTGTAGTCTCATTCCCGACTAAATTACTGGCAACACCCTTTAGCTTTGTCTTTATCATCGACACAGCTAATTGTTCGTGTTTTTATTGAGTCCAAAATGTTTAATGCATCAAGAATACTTGTTAAATTTTCGGCTTTACCATCGAAAACTGGTATAAGCTTTGATGTCGTGTTAATGAACTCAATATTCGAGTGGACCATCGTGATTGTTTTGCGTTCTATTACACTTGAATGTGTATCAGAATCCGAGTCTACGTGAGACATTAGTGTGGCTGGGATAGTAAGATTTGCCAAGTCTTGTTCTTGGACTTGTATATCTTCTTCTCTACTAGCCTCAAATTTTACTGGTGTATTTAAAATAGACGACACAGTTAGATTAAGATTATGTTTCTCTTTTATACTTTGGAGATTATTTCTTAATCTTGTCAATAACCTCGACGTTTCTGACCAATGTTGATCGGTTAATACGTCTTTATGATTATATATTATTATATATATTAATATTCGAGCTTCATTGAAGCAGTCGGTTAATGTTATTGCATGTCTGTCTACTGTGTCTTTATGAGCTTGTCTATTCTGCATTAAC